TCTCTCTCCCTCTCTCTTTCTCTCTCTTATCTGCCTGAATCTCTGTCCGTCTTCCTCTTTCTCCTTCCCCTTCCCCCTCCCCCTCCTCCTCCCCCTCCCACTCTCACTTCCCCTGCCCCTCCCCCTGCCCCTGCCCCTCCCCCTCCCCCTCACCGTAGTCGTATAAATAAGCGTGTCAATGAAGAACAGATTAATAACTAATAATGTAATAAGTAAGTCAATAAATAGATAAATAAAATAAATTCACGAGCAAAGGTCATGGAGGAAGAAGAAAGAGAATAAGGGAAGGTCAAAAAAAAAAAAAAAAGTGCAGGAAAAAAAGGCACAGATGAAAGAGGAGGAGAAAGCGGAGGACGAAGAGGAGGAAGTGACGGTGGAGGAGGAGAATGAGGAAGAGGAAGAAGAGGAAAGCGAAAGAAAAAGAGAAAGAAGGAGGAGGAATACTAAGAGGAGGAGGAAGAGGAGGAAGAGGAGGAGGAGGAGGAGGAGGAGGAGGAGGAAGAAGAAGAAGAAGAAGAAGAAGAAGAAGAAGAAGAAGAAGAAGAAGAAGAAGAAGAAGAAGAAGAAGAAGAAGAAGAAAAAGAAGAAGAAGAAGAAGAAGAAGAAGAAGAAGAAGAGGAGGAGGAGGAAGAGAAGAAGAAGAAGAAGAAGAAGAAGAAGAAGAAGAAGAAGAAGAAGAAGAAGAAGAAGAAGAAGAAGAAGAAGGAGGAGGAGGTGAAGGAGGAGAAGAAGGAGGAGGAGGTGGAGGTGGAGGTGGAGGTTGAGGTGAGTTGAGAAGATGAAGAAAAAGAGGAAGAGTAAGAAGATGAAGGAGAAGAAAGAGAAGGAGAAAGAAAAGAAAAAGAACAAGGACAAGACGAACAAGAAGAACAAGAAGAAGGAGAAAACAAAGATGACGAAGAAGAAGAAGAAACCAAAAGAACAAACAACAACAACACCAACACCGCGCCAGCAAGACCAAGGGGTCCCACTCTCCGCATTGTATCCGAGCGACGGGGCGACAAGGCCACAGACTCCGTACCCAGCGCCTAAAGACATGGCTACAAAGGCCGCCCAGGGCCAGATCCCGCCCAGGGTGTGACTCACGGGTGGGTGCGGCCGCCACAAAGATCCCTAGACAAAGACGCGTAAAGATTAATGGCGTATCAAGACGTCTGTGATGAATATTACGTACGGGATCCTTCTGCGGGGAGGACATGATTGTCGATTGGGGAAGGGAGGGAGGGAGGGAGGGAATGGTGGAGGGAGGATGGAAGAGAGGGTAAGGGGGGAGACAGGGAAGGGGAGAGGGAGGGATGGGAGGGAGGGGAGAGGAGGATGGGGGTGGGGGTGGCATTGGGGGTGAAAGTGAGGGAGAGGGAGAGGGTAAGGGAGAGTGAGAGAGAGAGAGAAAGAGAAAGAGAAATAAAAAAAAGACAAGAGAAAACGCTAAAGATAATAATAATAAAAAAGCTAATCAAAAACGTAAAACAAGGATATTCTCTAACAACAACAAACAAAACAAATTGGCAGAGAGATACAAGCAGAAGGTAACTGTAAACAAACCGCAGACGTCCATCCAGAAGGCATTTCCTGGGATGGGTGTCCTGAGTGACTCACCAGGATCCTGTAATATATATATTTTTTTTTGTGGAAGTGGACGCTTTTAGATCAGTTTCCCCTCAACGTGTGAAAAGTTTCTTTGGATGAATATCAACAAGTGGGAGACAGTAGCCTTGTTTTTAATGCAATGTAGAGGTGAAAATGGATTGAGAGATATTACTGTATTTTCATAACGAAGTCTTTGTTAGGAGTGTTTGTGTGCGGAGACAGGCTAATGTACGTAGACACGCACACAAAGCAAAACAGGGCACGCATAAAAGGGCAGAGAAAACACACACACACACACACACACACAATTACACCTTCCCCCCCCTCTCTCTCTCCCTCTCCCTCTCCCTTTCTCTCTCTCTCCCTCTCCCTCCCCCCCCCCTCTCTCTCCCTCTCCCTCTCCCTCTCCCTCTCCCTCTCCCCCCCCTCTCTCTCAACCAGGATGCCAGCACACGGCGATTCGTAATATAAAAGCTTTGAGAACCAAGGTCACATGAGGTCAGCATAGCACACTGCCAAGCACCAGGACACAGCAAGGACAGGAAAGGAGCGGCTGATGGGGAGAGTGATGGGGAAGAATGATGGAGAAATGGCGAAATAGGGGAGATGGTGGGACAGAAGAACGTGAAGTGGGGAAGTGATGGGGAGGGAATAAGGGGAAATGGAAAAATGGTGTCAAAGAACAGAATGAAACGGGGAGGTGTGATAAGAACAAGGGAAGAGAATGAAATGGGGAAAGGTGATGGGGAGGAAGGGAAAACATGTGGAAATTGTGATGCTGAAACGAGAGAGAATGAGAATAAGATGGCAAGGGAAGACGAAGAAAGGGAAAGCAAGGGCAGGGCGCAATAACTATAAAAATGTAAGAGAGGGTGATGACAAGGGGTCAGGGTAGGGTAGAGTAGGACAGTGTGTGTGTACGTGTGCCTATGTATGTGTGTGTGTGTGTGTGTGTGTGTGTGTATAGACGAGAAATTCTCAATCTGATGGAGTCCAGTCAGTATAATATTTACATGGATTCATATGTATAAAAGAACACATTCAAATGAATCAAATTTTATTAATTTAGTGTGGAGTTAAGTTCCCTCCTCAGCAAATGTTATGTAACCGGCAACGGCGCACGATTGCTCTTACCAGTTATCAGCTGCGAGACACGTCAGCGCTGCCTCGTTCATTCATTATCTTATCCTACTAAATGGCCTCATTCATGTCAGTTATCATAATAAGCCAGTCATGTTGAGACATGAAAGAAACGTCTGCACGAGGCTGGCGAGATGATCTGGCGGCGCGCGGAGCAGTTGCCTCCTGCTGGCACACCTGCTGCGTCGGCCGCTACTACTGCTGTTTCTGTCTCGACGGTGTTGGTGTAGCCCTTGCTCCTCGGCGGCGCTCGGCCTCCTCCTCGCTAACAAGCTCAACAAGATCATAATTATGGGAACGCGGAGACGCTCAGGCGCCCGCCGCCTGCCCGACCCTGCCGGTCGCTGACCACATGTAAACATGCAGACACGTTAGAGTAAACAGACATAGACGAACTCACGTAAATGCTTATAATTATACACGTACGTGTATAAACGAACACACTCATGGGCGCAACAAAAAATACGCATACGTAATACATATACCAATGCAGCATTATATTATTCCATCTTTCATATATAAACAAATACACTTAAACAGATACACTTAGGGCCTACACAAATTTAATAATACATGCACACGCAGGCACAAACACACACACACATATACACACACACACACACACGCACACACGCACGCACGACGCGTGTCACCGCAGGCCAGGGGGAGCGTCCTTGGCAGTGCCAGCCAGAGTGGGGGCCGGAGAGGCGGCGGTGACAGCGCGAGACAGCAGCTTAGTGACACTCCTATCTGGTTACGTCTGTGGCAGCGTCAGTGTAGTGAGGGGACGAGGTTCTGGCGAGGGGGGAGAGGGACAGCGCCGCGCCCTCCCGCCGCCCCGCAGCTCCCTCTGTGCGCGAGTGAAGTGAAGGGGCAAGCCAGGGTCGTGTGGTCGCCTGATGGGGTGGCGTCACTGAGGGCCGCAGTGCCACAGTGCCAGCGAGAGCCACGCTGTTTACAGAGCCTTCTTTCGCCTCCAGGTGCCGCCATGGGACCTCTCTACGTCACGTTCGTGTGCGTGGCACTGGCGTCCCTCGCCGCCGGGGTGCCCGTGGGGATCCCTTTCCCTCGCCTCTCCTCTAACGACCCCTACGCCCACCACCCACACAACGAAATCGCCCCTGACCACGCCGCCCCCGCGCTGACAACGACGCCGACGCCGACGGACGCGCCTCGGGTCGGCTCAACTCTGCACGCCGTAAGTCCCCTGATCCTTCCCTGCCTGTGATGTCATCCTGTAATTTATGATAGAAGCTAAATAAAGTAATGTTCTTTGAGTATTTCCCTGTCTTTTATCTCTCATATATTCATATTTGTTCTTTCGTGTATCCATATTTATTCAATCTTTTTCTTGTATTTGCTGTTTTTTGTGTTTATTTAATTATTTATTTTTTGCCACATCTCGTCCCATATTTCTGCCTATCTGTTCCTTTCTCTCCGCCCATCGCCTGACTGTGTATAAACTGCCCTCCTCATCTGTTTCTCTTTCTCCCACTTTTTTCCCCTTATCTCGACCTCCCTTTCACTTCGCTCTCCCTCCATTCACTTCGTTATATCCACGTATTATCTGTCTTTTCCTCATGTTTCATACGTCTCTCGCTCTCTGTTCTTCTTTTCGTCATTTGTCCCTCTTCCTCCCATCCTCTGTTTACCATATTTTATCTCTCTTCTTCATCTTTCTGTCTCTGTTATCTGTCTGTCTCTCTTTTTTCTTCCCCCCTTTCCCTCTCTCTCCCGATTTCTTTTCACAATACCCCTTCCCTCTCTCTCTCTCTCTCTCTCCCCGACTCCCCCATTTACCGCCTCGCTCTTTCTCCATCCTTCGCAGATGAAGTTCATGCAGAAGTTCGGCTACATTCCCGAAGAAGACGAGAACGCAGGGTTTATGTTGACACCGCAGGCCTTCAAGGAGTCGCTCAAACGCATGCAGAAGTACGGCAGCATCCCCCAGACGGGCGAACTCGACAACGCTACTATCGAGGTCGGTTCTGGGGATTTCTTTGCGCAGTGTGGCCTACTTGGTGGTGTTACGTGACCGCTTTCTCTTGCTCTCTCTTTCTCTCTCTCGGCCTCTGGTTCTTTCTCTTTTTCATCTCTTTCTCTCTCTATCTCCCTTTCTCCTCTCCCGGCCCCTCTCTCTGTCTCTCTCATCCCCCTCCCCCTCTTTTTCTCTCTCCTTATGACCGACAATTTTTTCTGGTGTCAGTGAATATATATATATGTAATTTAATCACTTTTTAAAATTTATTCGTCTATTTTTTTGTGTGTGTTTAAGGGTAAGGGGATAGGGTTACAACTTGCCCGCGATGTTTATTTGGAAAACAATGGAAATAGTGAAGTTGCGTAAAAGTTGCAGAGTTGAGGAATTTTCATTGCCATTTATTTATTTTTTTCTTTTTTAATCATTCGTAATCTTTGATATGAATGGGGGGGGGGGGTTAACTGCCTTATTTTTTTTCTCTGTCTATTTCTTCTCTCTTTTTTTTTTAACGTTGTTTTGATACTTGTTTTTTAATGATGCGTAATCTCTGATATGAAGGGGAGATTTAGCTTCTTGATTTTTAAGAATATGTCTCTTTTCTCTGGTTAAATACCTGTTCAACTAAGGTGATGTATTTAATGACCCACTTTTTTTTACTCTTCTTATTCTAATATATTTTCCATCCACGCTCCATCTACTACGGACTTTTGATTACTAGATAATTTATATATATATACATATATATATATAATATACATATATACATACATACATATATATATATATATATATATATATATATATATATATATATACATATATATATATGTGTGTATGTACATATATATATATATATATATATATATATATATATATATATATATATATATATATATATATATATATATATATCGGAGGACTGAGATCGATATATCGATATATATATATATATATATATATATATATATATATATATATATATATATATATATATATATACATATACATACATATACATATACATACATATACATATACAAACATATACATATATACATATATACATATATACATATATACATATATATATATATATATATATATATATATATATATATATATATATATATATATATATATATATAGACAGATAGATAGCCAGCTGAGAGATAGATAGACAAGAAAACAAGAGGCTACAGAATGGCGATCCCTCCCTCAGATAACACGCTTTTTAACACTCGTAACGTGCAAAGCTTTGACTTGTTCTCTGCAGGATAGAATGTCTAATTAAATAAACATCTGATCGCGAAAGAGCTATTTCTTGTTGCTTTACGAGGGAGGCGCATGATGCAAGGCGAACGGCCCAACTTGATAGAAAGGAGATGCAAGTGAATAATGGCAATGAAGAGAATGCCAAGAGTGAGGGAGAAAAAAAAATGTTTAAATGTTTAGAAGCCTGAATGTAAGAAGACTAAACATGTCAGTTAAATAAGAGGATTTTTTGTGAGATTTAGAAAGAGAAAGAGAGAGAGAGAGAGAGAGAGAGAGAGAGAGAGAGGAGAGAAATAGAGACAATCAGCATTTATAATGACGAAATTGCGAGCTTCAATGTGTTCAATTGAATCACAAGAGTAAATACTTGCGAGTTGAATCTTAAACAAATCGGCGAAGAAAAAAAGAATTTTATGCGTATTTTTTTTCAAGAGAGAGTAAGAGATACAAAGAGAGTAGGATAGAATATGATGAAGAAATTGCAAGTTTCAATTTGTTCACATTTGGTTCAATTGAATCACGGGGTAAATATTTACAGAGTCGAGTCTTACTCTGATGCTCTTCCATCTTCCTTTCTCCTCTCCCAGCTGATGCAGACTCCCCGCTGTGGCGTTCCTGACGAGATCCTGGAGCCACGTCGTCGTCCCAAGCGCTACATCGTGGGATCTGAAGGCTGGAAAAAGCGAGAACTCACCTATTTGTAAGTTGACTTTTTGAGTAGTTGGCAACTGTCTTGTGGATAGTTGCATGTGCGTTTTTTTTAATTTTATTATTATTATTTTTTTGGGGTAAAAGTACTCGATCATGGGTAATACTGCTCTAACTTCAAATAGGATTTGAGTATTTTCAAAAAACAATATTGCGAGAGTAGTGTTTTGTCGAAGAGTCCAATTACAGCAAGGTATTCGGGCCATTAGAGAAGGCAATCAAAACCAACGTTCCAAATATGTGTTTTGGCCGCGCGTCGTTTCATACTCCAAATAGCCCGTATTGGCGTAAACAACACAAGCACGTGTTCCCTCCCCCCCACCCCCCCCCCCCACAAGTTTAAACACTACCCTACCCCCCTTTCTCCTCCCTTTCGTGTTCTCCCCCCAAGTTTAAACTGCCCCTCCCTTCTTCTCCTTTTCCTTCTCTCTCTCCTTTTCTCTCAAACTTTAAACGCCTTCTTCCCCCCCCCCCTCCCCCCCTAAATTTAAATGTATCCTCCCTCGCCCCCCTCTTTTTTCTCTCTCATGGTCTACCGCAATTTAAACCCCTATTCCTCTCTCTCCCTACCCCCCCCCTCGTATTCCCCCCCCAATTTCAACGACTTCCCTTCTTCCACCCCTCCATGCCTCCCTCCCTCCCTCCCTCCCTCTTCCCTCCTTCCCCTTCTGCCCCCCACCCCCAATTTGAAATATAAACGCCTCCCTCTCCTCCTCCCCCCCCCACCCCTTCATGCTTTCCCCCGCAACTAAAACGCCTCCCTATTCCTCCCTCCCTCCCTCTTCCCTCCTCCCCCCACCCCCTCATGG